CATACTGTAGAGTCACTAGAGAAGGAGGAAAGGTAGGTATACTTGAGGGTAAAGGGATGAATTTGGTTTGAACAGCTTGAGTTATTGAAAAATGAAAGCAAGGAACCCAGGATTAGCAAGGAAGCAAGGAAGCCACAGAACACTATCGGCTAATTTAGTTCTACCCTCTTTGGTCCAAACAAATTGTTGTAAAGCGTCCGAAAACTTTTCCGAGTGTAGTTGCAGCGGTAAGCTCCTCCCATGAGATACTCAAGCAGAAGTCCTATGTCAATGAGGCTGATGTGATAATCAGGTGGAAGGTTTCCCTGTAAGCAAGAGATATGGTCTGAGTACTTGTACGAAAACATTAAAAACTCTATCAGGAAACAAAGCAAAACAAAAATGCTTAACAATACTTATATAGAACTGAAGGGAAGAATATGCCTGGTACTATGTTCCTAATTGAACACTTTTGACCGAGTTTCTTTGCAGCCCTTGCTGACTTTAGACTGTTCTAAGTGCACAACAGCCTTCATAGGCCACACTGGAAGGTCTCCATTAGGAAACCTCATGAATTAAGCTGCGGTTTACCTCAAACACACCTTTAGTCCTTGGACTTAAGGTTGAAATTCCCTAATATAAGAAGAAGCAGATGACTCCTATCCCAAGAGCTTCGAACTGGTGGACACTGGACTTTGGTTCTGACCTCCTGAGTTGAGGGTGCCCTTTGAATGATAGGCCAGAACTACCACATACTTATTATTTCAAAGCCCTCCTTGCTTTACTGTGACATGTATTAATCTTGTAGGCATGGCTCTGTCATTGTGAATGAGTATTATTGAAAGTTTTTCCCTATCATCAGTCCCCCTCCCCACCAAAATCTAGTTGCACATGAGTTGGCTTGGTCTTATGGTGACCCCATGGTGTCAGAGTAAAACTGTGCTCCATGAGGTTTTCAGTGGCTGATTTTCCAAGTAGATAACCGATCTTTTATTCCAAGGTACCTATGGACTTGAACCTACAACCTGTTAACTAGCCACAAGTATATCCATTATTTGTACCATCAAGAGATTCCAAGAACACATTAGCAATGTGCAATTTACCACACACCTCAGTTATATTCCCAGCTCCACCTTGATAGTTATGCAATCGATGGAAGTAAACAATAGGCAGTTGACTATCGTGTCATTAAGGAAAATAATTCATTTGTTAGAAAGTCACCTATCTGTAGGGTAGATGGCTGAGCATGTGCTTGGACAGGGTGGTCAGTAGTCCAAATGTTTAAGTGCAAAGAAAGTAGTGTTGTGCAGTTGGTATGAGACTTCCTTTGTGAAAGCTGATTACTTCTGATGAGGAAGTGCTTTGGTAGTGCTTGCAGACACTATAATCCAGACTACTAGTAAACGAAGAAGCAAGTTACTAGAAGGAGCACTTCATGAGGCAGAGGGAGGATAGAACATACCTGGGACTGGAATTTTTCAGGTAAAATGTTCGGCATGGTGCCTGGGGACTCTGAAGGGCCACATGCACAGGAGCAAACAAAGAGAGAAAGAGAGAGATTGGAGCACATCCTGGCCCACTAAGTCCAGAGGATGATATTCCTGCTCAGAACAGTCAATGCACAGAGAGAACCATAGGGCCTGCCCCAACACGAGGCACGGCATCCCTCACTGACCCATAGCACTTCAAGGGACAACACTGGAGGCATAGTGTGGGAATTGTGCCCGATCTGACCCCACCACACCTGGGTGAAACACTAAAGGCGTGCAAGAGAACAGCAAGAAGAGCAAAGCAATGAATTCCCCGGGGAATACCAAAAATAGACTTTGGGGCCAGGGCC